AGTGATGAACGAGCTGAGTGAGACTGGAGCCAGTATTGATCCCTGGGGAGCACCACTGACTGCAGGCCTCCAACTGGATTCTGCTGCCCTGATCATGACCCTYGGAGCTCGGCCATTGTCTTGGTTTGAGAGACAGGTGTTTGCCAGTGAAGGCAGGGACCCCCSCTTGGAGTGGTGGATATGACCCCTCTTCCCTCTGAATYATTATAGCTTTGAAAAAAAGTCACAGGCTTTCAGGCAAGAATATGGGAAAAAGGGAATAACAGTTTTTACTAATATGTATAACAAAGTGAAATACGTAATAACAACAATAGCACCAACCAGCCCAATCCCAAACCCAGTGACAGCCTCACACAGAGATACCCACCTGATTCCCCGGCGACTGCAGGGGTGCTGTGGCGTGGGTCCCGGCTGGTTCAGATCTCCCATGTGGCCAAGGATGGGCACAAACCGGCAGAGATGGATGGATAAAAAGTTCCTCTGCAAACTCACAGCGGATATGCCAATCTCGGTGCTCCTTTAACCACCGCAGCACGAATCTCAGGGTTCACAGGCAAGGCACGGGGGCAGAAGATTACAGTGCAGCAAAACAGGAATCAACGGGCAGAGATGCTGTGCTCTGCAGAAAAGAGCAGTGGAGCTCTGCTCCGCAGGTAGCAGGCCAACCCCCTCTGAGCCAAACAGGGCAGTATATATAGTTACCCGCCGCCACCACCACACCCACATACACCTCCTCCCAGTACTTAGCAAGATCGTTTGGGTGGGGTGTAGGTCCTATTGTCTTTACTAACCGCCCTGCCATCAAAAGGATGACCTGGCAATCAGTGTATCCCAGCAACAAAGTGGGAGAGAAAAATTCCCCGAGAAAGGAAACAAAATGAGAACCCTTAACCCACAACAGCCGTTCAGCCAGTCCTTGATCCATCTCACTGTCCATTCATCCAGCCCACCTGTCCTGAGCTTACCTATGAGATTGTTACAGGAGGCAGCCTTGCTGAAAGGAGGCAGACACATCCACTGCTGCCTCTTCATTTGCCCATCCTGCCAGGCCATMACAGGAGCTGTCAGATTGCTCAAGCGTGATTTCCCATTGGGGAATCCATGCTGAGTACTCCTGATGACCTTCTTTTCTCCTACACACTTGGTGATCACCTCCAATAWGGTCTGTTCCATTACCTTTCCAGGGATGGATATGAGGCTGAATGATAGGCTGGTGGCTTCCTCCTTCTTGCCAGTTTTGAAGATGGAATAACATTGGCTTTTCTTCAGTCACTGGGCCCTGTTGGTTTCTGTAGTTTTTCAAAGATGATGGAGAGTGGCTTGGCTACAGCGTCTGCCATCACCCTCAGCACCTGTGGGTGCATCTTATCTGGGCCTGTGGATTTATGGGAGTTCAGTCTGCCCAGTCCATCTCTAATCCCACACTTTACGACTGAGGGCAAATCTTCCCTTCTCCACCCTTCCTCTCCTAGCCCCAAGGTCTGGGATTCCCGAGGGCTGACCTCAGCAGTTAACACTGAAGGAGGAAGGCATTCAGTAATTCTGGCTTCTCTTGGTCTTCTGTCACCAGGACACCCATCTCATTCAGCAGTGACCCCATATTTTCCTTAGTGGTTTTTTTTTTTCTTTTGTTGTTGCCAATGTACTTGCTAAAGCACTGCTTGTTGTCCTTGATATTGTTTGACAGATTTAATATCAAGTAGGCCTTGGCCTTTCTTGTCGCATCCCTGCATACCTTGACACTGTTCTTACAGTGTCTCCCCCTGGGACCTGCTCCTTTTTCCACATCCCATAAATTTCCTTCTTGTGTTCGAGATTTACCAGAAGGTCCTTGCATGCAAGTCTCCTGCTGCCTTCTTGCTGATGGAAATGTGCTGGACTTTAGGAAGTGATGCTAGAGTATTGACCAGCTTTCTTGGACACCSCTTTCTCTTCTAGAGCCCTAACCCATGAGATTCCTCTAAGCAGGTCTTTGAAGAGGCTGAAGTTAGCTCTGTGGAAGTTCAGGGTTCTGGTCATGCTTACTGCTTTGCCTTCCTCTACACAGGATCTTGAATTCCACCATCTCATGGTTGCCTCAGCCAAGTTTGCCCCCAGCCTTCATACATTAAACCAGTCCCTCCTGGTTTGATTGTATGAGGTCCAGCAACACACCTTCCTTCACTGGCTCTTCTACCACGTGCATCAAAAAATTATCTTCAGTCATCTGCAGGAATTTCCTAGACTGTGTGTGCTGGGCTGTGTTATCCTGCCAACAAATACCAGGGTCATTGAAGTCCCCAGAAGAACCAGCGCCTTGTGACCATGAAGCTACTTGTATTCAGTAGAATGTGTACTCTAGCCTGTGATCACAGAAGCATACAGGAAATCCAAGTGTCTGATCTTGATCCTTTGCAGTGYACTCCCTCTGTCACACAACGATATCGAAATATAGTGATGCTGCAGGGCATATTCTTGTGAAAAAAAGTAGTTACAGGCCATTTTCTGAGACTTGAAACTGTCTTTTTGGAGACTTGCTGTGTTTTAGGTAAGTTTTGACAGGAAACTATATTGGAAATTAAATCAAAAGATTAGAGATAGTCTGACACTAAAAATATCAGGATTCTAAAAATGAAGAATGCTTTTCACTCCCCCATCTTTCTGTTCAACAGACTATGTGAGTATGGTGGGACTTAAGGGAAATACTAATTTAATTGTCAGGCAATTTTCAGAAATGGTTTTTCTGTCCATATCTATTTGTTTTGTAAAGAATTCTCTTACTTTATATGAACTGTCAGATGTCTGCTTAGTCTTTTGTATAGATAAAATACTTTCCTTGTCCTGGCTACACTTAATTGTATTTAATTTCTAAAGTTTAGTTTTAGTATTATGTTGAGGATTGCTCTTGAAACTCATGGGTTTCGGTAGTCCAAGTTATTCATCCACTTGAGAAACTCATGCATTAAACAGTTAGAACAAGTTCAAATGTGTATCTCATTCTAGTATATAGAGACTGAAAGTACATTATAAAGGCTTTTTTTTTTCCTTCTTTTTCTTTTTGTAGGCAGAAAAAATAACTGGCCACCTCTTCCTGAGAATTTTCCTGTAGGTCCTTGTTTTTACCAGGATTTTTCAGTAGACATTCCAGTAGAATTCCAGAAGACAGTAAAGATTATGTACTATCTGTGGATGTGTAAGTATTTTCTTTTACGTTAAATGAAGTGCCTGTTCAAACTTGGTGATACATACCTGCTACTTTGGCTCTTGGAACATCTGTAATGAAAAATTWTTTTAAATCCAGAAGCCAAATGTTGAAGTGAAATCTTATGGTTAGGTTCAGTTTTGAAGGTATTGAATTACATCATAAAAAGAAATAAAGGAGGATTATCCTAGGGCAGTTTGGTTCTAGTTTATTGCAGTTGTCTGGTTTAAGTTTCTCCTGTTGTAAAAGGAACTTTGACCATTTATTAACTTAGAAATAATTTTACTGTTTTTAAAATCAGCTTATATACTAAGAAATAAAACTCACAATTAGTGTTAATAGACTTTTAAGTTCAAGATGTATAATATCTATTTGCTTTATATACAGGGTTTTATAGAGTTTCATATGGTTTTAATCTATAGCAGAGGCTTAATATTGTTTTAGCGTGTTTTAAGAAACAGTGTCAATTAGCTAAAAAATCAGTCCATGTTAAAACTATCCTTTGTAGGCAAAGAATGCTCTATACCATCTTTTAATTACTGTAGGATTAATTTTGCCTTATTTGGGTGCTGTGTTTTGACTGGAGAAATGCTGGATTAAACAAGAGTGCAGATGCTGCACTTGTTTCTTCTGCCTTGTCCAGTGTGATTAATGAAGGTCTAAAAAATACTCTGAGGAAATTGTGTAGACTTAGGTACTTTGATGCCTTTAATATATTTTTAGCCTTCTGTTAAATTGAGTATTTCAAATGTTTCCTGTCCTGTTTTTCTTAGCTTCAGATGTAGTCAGGAAATCTCCATAATTTTACATGTTACTCTGGTAATCTTATTGGTGTCATTGAACCATGTAATTGAAACACATAAAATGAGCAGACAGCATTGAATCAAATAAATTCCATTTCATCATAATGTACAGCTTTCTGTATTCATTGCTAGACTGTTAATCTTCAAATAAACCACTGTAGAGTGTATGACTAGTCACTCTCATAAAGTTGACAGATAATTTAGATTTATGTGAAATCTAAGGTGAAATACTCAGTTTTAGGATGGTTATAATTCTGGCCATTTGCAGGACTGAGTTCTGCAAGTGTGAATGTTTCAAACATGAGATGAAGGTGGGCAGTGAGAATTGGAAAAATAATATTGATACTGTTTTTAATTTTCCTTTTTATGGCAACAAGTAAAGGAAGAAGCAATGTTACATTATTTCAAAATATATAGGGGCTGTGCCTCTATACTGACATGACAGCCCATCTTCTAGATAGTCTGAGGTTTCAGCCAAGTCTTTTCGCACTCTTTGTTCTTTAGCTGTAGTACTCTCTGACAATATATTACTCAGGAAGACAGGAAAAGGGCATAATAAAGGAAAAGAAGGACAAAATCTATTACACAGTTAAAAAAAAAAGATGAAAAAGATTGAGTATAGAACCCTATGCCTTAGGGTTGGCTGTTAAATCAATCCTTGGGACTTTTCTTTCCTAGGATTGCATCTACTCATTGGTTTGGCTCATTCTTCATTCACTTTTTCCTCTGGCAAGGTACTTGTTCCCATAGTAGACTTGCTTCTGCTTGCCATTGTACATTTTATTAGCTCTTCCAGAACTTCCTTTGTCTTGTGAGGTTTAGGGGTTCTGTGAACATAATCAGGCTTGGATAAATCTTAATACTGCATTCTCAGCACTTTAGAAAGTAGGTCCTTTTCCTTTTTAGCAGCCCTGGGGACAAATTTTCTGGTTTAGCTTTTATATCGTCTTTTTATATCTCTGAGGAAACTTCTTTACCTGTTTAAGATCCATATGCTCTTCCTTTCATAAAAAACCAAGTCTGTTTGTATCTCTATTTCATTAATTCTTCCATCTTCTTTCCTTTTGTAGCAGAAGTCAGAGTTTTCAGATTCTTTGATGTGGTTTTATCTTTGCACATTTTTTCCCCTGGGGAGAGACTTCTATTTTAAAAAAAAAAAAAAAACAGACTGAGTACTCACATGTTTTTGTGCACTGTAACAATCAATTAGCAATGGCTTTTCACAGCAGCCATTGGAGCTTTTCTATTCTGTCTTGACTTGGTGACCATTGCTGCTTTTAGGGCTTGCACATGAAAATGACATTCCTAGCTTATTAGCACTGAGCACTGCTTTTTAGATCTTTTTATGCTACTACTGTGTCTTGTGTCAAGGACAATGTCTCTTGACCTGCACTAATAGTCAGAAACAGGCACAAGAGCATGTGTATTCCAGCTACTTTCCCCTCAGGCTGATAGCATGCACTAAAACACTAATGACTTTCAAAGAATATTTCATATTGGAAGTTAAAACCTGAAGAGATTCTGGTAGAAAAATAGTATCCTGAAGTGCCAACTCTTTTTCTTTTATCTGAGTCTGTGTAGATGTTTGTTTTGCCTGTTTCTGAGAACCTCCAATGATGGACACTTCACAAACTCCCTCCAAGCTTGTTCTAATGGGTTGCTGTCTTTTAGAATTAGAAATTATTTCTTGGTATATAATTTAATTATCCCCTTCTGTGTTTGGTCTTTCCTGTTCTATCCACTGTTGTTGTGGAAAACAGGTTTATCCATGTTAGTCATCTCCTTTTGCCTTAATTAGCATAGTTTACTCAGCCTTTCTTTGTGGGTGATGTTTTCTAGAGGTTTGACTTCGGTTGCTGTCTTACAGATTCACTGTTTGTCCATTCCATATTATTATGTGGGTTTTTTAGTGTTTAGCATCAGGAAATTTTTTTAAAATACCTTCACATTTTAGATGGCACATGTTTATGTGCTGATCCAAGATTGCTTAATGTTTATGTTGTGTGCTGGTCCGAGTCTGTTTTGGAATCTATTTTTTCCCTATGGAAAGTATTTCTTCTTTTTGTAAGACATGTTACTCCCAAGCGAGCAGAACAGACTAGGAACAAAAGCCTATACAACATCTGAAGCCACTCAGAGCTCCAAGGCTGTGTGTGATCAAACTTACTAGCCCAGTCCTCACCTGTGAATTGCCATGTGGCTTAAAAACTCTCCATTTTATAGGCGTCTCATTCACCATCAGGTAGTTCCAATCCAGAATGAGAGTTGGGCATCCTAATGTGGACTTCTGTTTCTTGAGAATATAATCAATGAAACATGGCTAAAATTAAATTTAGTGCAAAAATCTATTTTTGTACAGTCTCAAATGGAATGGCWAAATAATCATCTCAGTAATGTACACGCCAAATAGCATCCGTATAACTTGTGGTCTTTACCTACAATTCACTTTCAGACATTTATAGATGATAAAGTGTAGTTAATTAATAGGGAATATATCTAAGTAAAATTCTTCTATTCAAGGAATTTTATACAAAAAAAGAAGGAATATATGAATATTTATGTAACTAATTTAATTTCCCATTGTTCATTCTTATTTTGGCATGAATTAGTTTTTTTCAACCTCAGCTGTTTCTACACACAAACTGGGAGAAGGCTTTTTTAAATCACATAGGATACTCAATTGTTTTAGCTTTGAAGTTGTCCTACATAAACTGCATATTGCAGACTTCTGCCAAAGCCTTAGGTATTTTTTCCCCCAGGTGGTCTTTATTTTCTGATAACTTGTATTATGGTTTGATTTGCTGAGGCAAATAAGTGGAAGGTACTTAAAACTGCTACCCTGGATGTACAAACACCTGTCTATTCATAAGAGAGCAAAGCTTGTCTTGATCTCTTAGTGATGGTTTTGGCTCAAGGGATAAATGATTCCCTGTACAGAGCAAAAGGGCAAGTGCAGTGACTTGAGACTCGTCAGTCAAGTCTGCTGTCTTCCTCTATAGTTTGCTAATACTTGTTTTGTACAGCTGAGACTCACTGTTGCAGTAGTGAAGTAGACCCCTACATTACTGGTTTTACTGTCAGTAGTGGGTGTGATGCTTCAGCCTCTTGTATACTGATGGTCTTTAAAACTTGTACTGTAAATCATAATTCAAATTATTTTTAAAAAGTAATTCTGGAAAGGTCAAACTTCATCAGAATCTGAATGTTTCTAGTAACATAGGGGGTCTCCCCATTTTCCAGTAGTGAGTAGAGAAAGAGAGAATACTTCTTTCTTGTAGTTACCAAAGGAAGGCAGGAGCTGGGATTTGTATAGTTTTTTTTTGCTTYATGAGGCATAAACACACAAATTCCAAAATGAGTTGCTTTGCTACCCCCCTTGGGGCAGTGCTAAGATATGTAGGTGCTTTTTATTTAAAAGAAGTCTTTTGCTTCTGGTGACTTACAGGAAAATATGATTTGTCTGAGGAAATGTTTTCAGTTTCATCAGTCTTTCATGCAATGATCTATGCATCTTGCTTTTAAGATTTTTTTCCCACTGAGTTTAGAGTTTGTTCAAGTCATAGTTAAAGACAGTAACCAAGAGCTTGAGAATTCTCTTTTTCAAAATCTTTAGTATCTTGCTAAGTTCTGTTAACCTTACCATCCAGTAGAATGACTAAAATGTTTCTCTGAACTTAAATTTTAAAGAAATCATTGCTGTCAGGAGTAGTTTGTACAGTTATAAATACCCTACTCTATCCTGATCCACAAGGAAAGGAATTGTCCTCTGAGGCAGCAAAATCTCCTGAATCACTGGTTATTGCTGAACAAAGAGAGAAATTCATGTTCATCTTTGAAGTCTAGCAGAACTAACTTCTGTGCCAGATAGCATGAAGGTAATAGTCATAATGTTTCTTAATATTGCTGTATCTTAATTCTGTTCTAAGAAGTAAACTTAATTGAAATATAATGTAAAATCATAATTCAAATATATTTTCTTTAGTAGAAATGGAACACTTAACCTGTAACAAGGTATGCCAATGRGAAAATTATAGTATTAGCTAACCACAGATCATGAAAAAGGCAGATGTTCTAAGAAAGGCCAGTGTTCTGAGAAATACGCGAATATACAAAATGGATTAAAGCATCTAGAACAGCTTCTTGCAGATCTTATTTTACTGAGGAGCATTCTTAGTAAGGGGTTATTTTTCCTTTTATTATATGGGAGACAAAGAACTTTCCATTGAAAGATGATTTGGGATATTTTTGTTTTCAAATTTGAATGTGTACAGAGCATTTTTTGTGATGCGTTTCATGTCACTAAGAAGCTTTGTCTCAAAAAACATTCAGTAGTCTTGTTAATACTAGTATTCAGTTATTACTGTAGGAAAAAGTATCAATTATTGCAACTTTATAAGCCTCATTTTCTTAATATAATATTTGGAAATGTTTTATTTTTTTGACAGGATATTTTACATTGCCAGGTAGCTGGTAGTAATTTAATTTTCATATTGAGTCCTCTTTTGTGAATACAGGTTTTTTTAGAAATTTAGAAAATGATAGAAATGAATTTATTACTGAGGGCATTGAGAGGGTATTGGCTATTGTCAGCATGCTGCTGTTCAGTTGAAAATGTTCAGTTGGGTTTTAACTGTAGCAGCTGTAATAATTTCTTATATAAATGTAACTTAATTAAGACTATTTTGCTTCTTCTTCTACAGTCGATACAGTGACACTATTTCTTAATATCTTTGGATGTTTGGCCTGGTTTTATGTTGATGCTTCACGAGGAGTTGATTTTGGATTGAGTATTCTCTGGTTCTTGCTTTTTACTCCTTGTTCTTTTGTCTGCTGGTACAGACCACTTTATGGAGCTTTCAGGTAACAACTTCAGCTTGACTTAGGGTATTTAAAAACTTGTCAAAATGCATTAACATTCCAGAATTTGCTTGATTATCACGGTGATAATCCTTTGAAGTGCTTTCATGAGAAACAAATACTATGTTTGCCATTAATTCAGTTGTTGAATTTCAAATTTAGATGCCAATAGGTAGTAATAMTCTGGAATATCCTTTAAAATATTTTTAGTTTCTACCACAGACAAAATATTTGTTGGCAATATTTAACTTTGTTAAAGTTAATAGGGGCTGGTAACAGTTGCAAAGTAAATTCTCTTTAAATCTGTCTCTTTGCACCAGTAATTTAAGAAGGTTAGTAGTAAGAGTGTCTTAAATTTTTTGCCTCCTGAATGAACTTCATAAATAGCTGCTCTTGAAATCGTGTATTTTTAACTACATAAAAAATGTAGTTAARAATACACCTACAGTGTCTGTAATTGAAATGGCCTGAGATTCTTAATTAATAGAGCAGGTATATAGTAAACAAAGTAGTATTTTTCCTAGTATTAATAATCTTTGCAAACTTCAGAAGTATGAGGTGTGTGATTAAGGAGTAGAATAATGTGTTTGCATGCAAAATCAAACAGTTTTCTTGGTCAAGATCAGCATGTAGAGATTTCAAATCCTATAGGCTGAAAGTATCTTTTTACATTGAAGTGATTCAGCATGTTCTCAGTTAAAGTAGCCTTATTCTTGCATTAAAAGGTTTATGACCAGGAGTTGCAAGTGTAACACTTAAACTATGTGAAGTGTTTCTTTTTGCTAACCAAAGAGGTATTCCTGTACCCATAGGAAATCTGTGAGGAACCATATAGTTTAACTTGCATTTCCTGTCTAGTAAATCCGTAGCTTTTCATAGTGAAAATTGGCTGATTGAGAAAGGAAAACTACTACTTGCATATTCAACTTGCACTTAGTTGCTCAGCTGAAAATGAAATAGTCGTTGAACTAAACTGTATAGAAATTACAAACTCCCTTCTGCAGGAAGAGCTGTTAAGGGCAAAATCTGTTTCTCTGACATAACTGAATGACTTGTGTTTGCTGCTAGAGTTCTTAAGGAAGTATATCATATGATCATTAGTTTTGATAATAGTAGGTTGAATCTTCGTTGAAATTATATCAAATTATATTTGTCTGGGTTTTTTTTTTAAAATTTTTTTTATTTTCAGTGTTTGTAAGGCTGGCATTTTAGTAATTTAAACAGCAAATGTATTTTATACATTTTACTTTAAAGCAATAGCTGCTTCAGTATTCTGGTGTGCCTGGAGTTTCAGTAATTCCATATGGGATTTTATGTCCTTTCACAAGTTAAATATTTTCTTCCCATCTTGCCAGCACTGTGAACTTCACTCTGAAAGTGGAGCAGAATTCTGTATACAAACTTAAATGGTTAGTTGAAGAGGTCTTGCTGTGGGCTGAACAGAACTATTCTCACCGTTCTTAGATGTGCAGTGGCAAAGAAGTGCATTGAAGAAGAAAGAGCAGCTTTTGTAAATAAACACTCCACAGAACCATAGAATTGCTGATACTTCATATCACTGTTGATAAATGAAAGTACTTTTACTCTAATTAATGCAGAAAAAATTAGATTGTTATTACAGAATTTGAATAAAAATCATGAATTTTCTGTCTGCTTTAATCTTTCCCCCCCACCTCTTTCAGGAGTGACAGTTCATTCAGGTTCTTTGTGTTCTTCTTTGTATATATCTGTCAGTTTGCTGTACATGTACTTCAAGCTGCAGGATTTCAAAGATGGGGAAATTGGTGAGTATTGTTTACTGTAGTGTTCTACTGTATGTAAGACTAACACATTTGAAGTAACAACTGCACTACAGTCTATATATTTTCAAAGGAATAATCATGTGTTCACTGGAATGTTACATTTAGTTCTTAAAAAAAAGCATTTTTGGAGTGCTCTTAACTAGCAGAAGTGTGTGAAATGTATCCARAGAATACATTTCTAGGCTGGTCAAAATTTATCCTTCAATTTAAACCACTTTGAACCGCTCTTTTATACATTACCTCCTCTATTTTGGTAGTGTGAGTAGTTATTACTTGTTCTGTATTTAAAATAAAAGAAAACAAATACAAATTTAGACATTAATAATGTACTGTTTGCATATTTTTGTATTGTCAGTTATTTCTAATTATGTTAATACACTTACTATATATTGAGGAATTTATGGCTAAAATTTGTAGAATGAGTGAGGCATTTAGGTGAGTATCATGGTATATCTTTGATATTTGAAAAGTTCATTTGTCTGAGTCACCTCCATATTCTGTAATAAGTTGATTTTTCTTTTAAATGTTTGTAAATATGTAAGATTTTACATGAAGCTTGTATGTATATTATGTTTTATTCGAGCCTTTGAGGTCTAACACTTATATTTAATGAGGAGAAGGTATGGGCAATCAGTCACTGTCCTTGGAATAAAGTCATTAACTAAAAGCAAGGTTGTAGTAGCCAGGTAACATGAAGAGTCACGAGTAGCAGTGCTTTATTTGGGTAACAACCCTTCCCTGTATCAGTGCAGACAAAACAGTATTGCTTTAGAACTGTTATGTAAGGAAAAATCCTGCTTTATTATTTTTGCTCTGGTATTTTCTATTTTGCTTATTCGTCCAAGCCTCTGAAGTGTGCATTTAAGCGTACTTTGGGAAGGAGTGTGGAAAGTAGCCAGATCATCGAAAAATGCTAATTACAGTTTGGATTTTGGCATTTTGTGGTAGATTRTGGTGGAGTATATCAGATATCAAAGCCGTTTTAAACAGGTACAGGAAAACTTTAAGGTTTGGATTTACAATGATTTTTAGCTTTTTTTTTTGTTTGTTTTAATAATGTGGAGGAATAATTTTCTTCTTAATGTACAGAGTTTTGTTCTTTAGGCAGCCTACTTTTTTAGTTTACAAGTCTGAAACTGTTGATGTTTGTTGGTGTTTCAATTTTGAAGAATGGGGAAATGCTTGAAGTGGATACTGTACAGCAGTTTTCTCTATTAGTTCATCTGATGCTCCTCCCTATTTAAAAAAATTATCATGTTGATCTCAGTTGAGAAAGCATCTCTGTGTGGATACGACTATATGAATCTTCCCGCACAGAAGCTGTGTATATGTGATATGTTTCTGTTCTATATTTGTTTCTATAGAAACTATCTTTTTAGGGATATTTTCTCTTCCATGAATTCATGTTGTTTTAAATCAGTCTCAAATGACAAAAAATCCTCAAGAGGTTGATAGGCAACTCTAATTTCTCCACAATACTCTCAGAGATAATAATATTTACAAYGCTTTTTTCATATAGTTTCACTGCAGTTTTTGTGAAAAAATTGATTCTAAGCTTTGAAAGGGTGTCATAGAACCAAAATATGTTTACATAAAATACACATGATTTTTTTTTCAAAATTATTCTAAATTGTTAAGAACTAGGAGGCTATAAAGTGATTAGGGTATATTGGGTTAAATGGTTCATGTGCTGTACTAATAAAGTTTGTTTTTTATCTTTCTTTTAGTGGGTGGATTTCATCTCTTACTGGACTTAATAAGAGTATTCCTGTTGGCATTATGATGATAATCATAGCTGCACTTTTCACAGCATCTGCTGTTATCTCACTAGTTATGTTTAAAAAGGTAAATTACATACTATTTCCCTCTTCTGTTTCCTGTGTTTGATCTGGATTTTACTTTCTGTCTTGAGAGAGGTACTCTTTCACAAAGTAGTATGGATTAAATTATGTACTTCGAGGTGAGTCTAACCTAGCCTATTGACAACTGTATAGTTTTACTTATACTGTTGTGGAGTTAAAAAATGCTGTTTGTACAATGCATATGTTTTCTGCAAATGGGGAAGGATGGCTCTGAATAAGAGAACCCCCCCCACCATGAAAGAGTGTGTGAATGCACTGGACACTGTGATTGGAGCTGTAGATGCCAGATCGTTCATCAGGCACAGGGAAGTGTGACTCAAGTGATGGATGAGTTTCAGCTCTTACCAAAATCATTCCCTTTAAAATCAATAGAAGAGAGAGATGCTCAGTACCTCAGAAAAGGACTTTTGTTTCTCTGTATTCTGATGATTATGTGCTGGTTGAATTCTAATTATTCAACCTCAGTTACAGTGAGATTGAAAGATTTTTTTGCATACACAAATTCTTCTGGCCTTTTTACAGAAATTTAAAGTGTGTTGCTGGAAATATCCTTTCTTGTTTTCTGTAGAAAGGCCCTCTATAGGAGGAGAAGCAAGCAAGAAAAATATATGGTGGAACATAATTTTACACTTTTCTTATTGTAYGCATCTGGATTATTTTCAAAAATCTGCATATTCCTATATGACTTGGTATATCTTTCTGAATTAGAAATAGTCACATTTATAACAGAGAAAAAAGTTACAGTAATTTTGCTACACTGGAATGAAAATGTCTTTGCAATATTATTTGACAACCTTTTGTGTGACTTGACTGAATGTGAGTCATAAATAGCATTTGAATTTTAATACTCAGGTAACTGGAAGTTTTTAATTTGTCTGGTTTTGTTGGTTTTTATTTTGTTATATGGCATATTTTTAAGAGTGTTTTTAAGGCATATTGTTTATTTCTCTGATTATTATGAAGAGCTGTTGATTCATGAYGCTAGTTTAGCAAATGCATATCTATATAATTAGAATATTTTGTACTTTTTAATGTTTAGTCAGAGCATAGGTTATTCCTATAACCAGAGTAATTAAAATGTTTCTAAATATTGATGTAGAAAAAAGTTCACCAAATAATACATTTTCATAAGTTCATAATAATACATTTTAGTAAACATGAGACCCCTCTGAACTTGCAAATGATTACAGGTATCCCCTACAGTCAAACTGTGTGTGCAGCAGGACAATCAAAATTCAAGGGTTTATGGGAAAAAAATCCATGTTCTGATCTCTGAATCCTCTCAAACACATGAACAAATCACATTTCCCCCCCTCACAGCTCTGCCTTGCGTTTGAGAGTTTGCTGTTGGTCTACTAAGAAATGGGAAGTGTGACATCATTTTTCCATTGCTTTTCCCCACTGCAGGTGCACGGGCTCTACCGCACAACTGGTGCGAGCTTTGAGAAAGCGCAGCAGGAGTTTGCCACAGGAGTGATGTCCAACAAAACTGTTCAAACTGCTGCGGCCAATGCTGCCTCGACAGCGGCCACCAGTGCAGCTCAAAATGCATTCAAGGGGAACCGAATGTAGGGAAACAAAATCACCACGGTTCTCTTCAACGGTTCTTTATTTTCCAGTCACTTACCATGTTCCCTAAATGCCTACATCAAAATTCACACAGCATGTTTGTTTCTTCTGCAGATATGCATGGGTTAAATGGGAAATGTTTGGTTTATTTTATTATAAATTTATTTATTTTAAGAAGAAGACCGTTCTTTTCTCTTTAACATGTTGAATTCTACAATATAAAGCTTTCCGTATTTTATTGGGGATAAATCATTTCAACAACTGGCCTGAGAATGAACTGCAGTGTACAATGATCAAATCAATGTATTAAGAATCTTAGGTTTTATAGCAGTTCACTCCAGTACTTCATTTTTAACTTCAGGAAAGCACTTCAGATTGATTATTTTTCTTCACAAGAACTGATTTCCCTATTTCTATCATAAGAGAGATGTAAAAAGTTAGGTTTGGCTACTGCTTTTGCAATTTCAGCAGCTGTTAGAGGTCAAATGCAAGTAAGGCAGAGAGTATAAATTCTTCTCTTGGTTTTTTTTGAGGATATGTCTTTTGATAGAAACCTGAAAGTTTGCATGAATACTGTTGAGTTAACCTGATCTTGTTTAAGTAGTGTTTTGGTCCAGAATTTACCTGCGCCACTTTATAGCATTTGTTTATATCTATTTCCATGGAGTATTCTCTACCTGTGAGAAATTACTATGGAGCATAAATATTTTCTGTAATAGAATGTGTAATAATGCAGTGTACAGTTTAAGGAAGTTAACTGGGGATTTCAATCACAAAGCTACATGATTACATATTTGCTATTTTTAACTTCAGTATTCACATATCCCCTGTCCCTCTTCTATTTGCAGTGGTATTTTCATTTTATTTGGGATTTTTTTTGTTAGTTTTTTGTTGGAGTTTTTTTTTCAAGTTTAGATTTATGTTTAACAGTGGTACTAAATTTCTAGCCTGGACAGTCACTCTGTTTACTGCCTGTCCAAAACACTATGTATAAAGTATTTAATTTTCTAGCAGGAATATTGTGTAAAATCAGGCTCTTTAAGCGATGACATTTAACAGATACTTGAATGAATTTTAATGTTAACTCATCCATCTCTGTGATGTGATTTAAGCTATAGTAAAAAAGCTTTTAAACTTTTTGATTTGGCAAAGGGAGAAATGTTTAATAAAGTTAACTCATTGAACTGGAAGCCCAAGACCTTAGATCAGTGCTGGGAAACTAACAATTCCTCATGTTACATACCATCACAATATTCTAGATTATAATATAATCAGATTTTTGTATAGAGTGAGTTTCTCTCCTTTGAAGACCTTACATGCTTGGATTGCCTCATGAGACTTGTATACAATACTTAGACAGTTTTTCAGACTCTCTAATAGAATGGAAAGATGACATCCTACAACCTGTGTAAGTACACACTTTGGCTGAAATGAATTCAGCTCTTAAGGTGAATTATCTTTAATAACACAGCATAAAGTTCTGAGGCCCTTCCATGTTCTGAATGTGAACTGAATTTCATAGAGSCTTTTTCACTACACTGTATTCATAATAATAGAAGCTCATTAAAAAAACACTCCCCTAGCTTAATCCCTGAATCACTAATATAGTGTTAGCATGAATTCTCCTATTAATCTCCTTTCTTTTACTTATTTCTTTAAACACAATTTGAATTTGAATAAACGTCATAGTTTCACCTATGCTGAAGTTCATATTAATGAATATACTTGCTTAAATATTCTATGTAACAAGGCTGTTAAAATGTCATAATAGTGGACAAGCTGACATTTAACTTAAATTTGTGTGGAATGTTTTTAAAGCTTTCTAGATGAAAGTCACTGTTCCCTGCTGAGATTGGGGAYCATCATTCTAGCAACTGTATATCAAGATTTTCTTTTCATATTTTAAACTTAACTTGAGGGTTGAATCTAAGAACTCTACTATGGATTACTTTTTAATCTAAATTTAGGGAATTCTTTTGGTATCCCTTGGAATAGGGATAGGAATAGCAGGGACATCTTCCTTCCAATTTAACTGAAGTTGAAGATTGCATAATAACATACATTAGCAAAAAACAAACCCACACACATTAGGAATAAAATCTGAATTTGACTGTTAGATTTTTTTCTCAAATGTTTGAAGGTTTTTTGAGAAAACATACGTAATGTTCTGTGTATAAGAATTGTTGATTTGTATTATCATGGGTTGAATGTACAGGTTTAAGCCTTCTGAGTGAAATTCAGAGTTGTGTCACATGTGAGTTCTTTAAACCAGAAATTGCTGACACTTTGCAGCCCAGAAGGGAGGGAAAAGTTTGTTTAGCTTTGACAATAGAAGGCTGAGATTTGTTAAAACATTTTATATCTAAAAACTAGATTTTAAAATCTCTTGTTAATCAGAGTATGGCGCCCACTTGAGTTGTCATATTGTAGTATTGTGACAAACTGAGTACAAGTTATGAAGTTTAAACACTGGAATGTCAGTAGTCATTGGTCTGTAATTTAGGAGTTGTTTTAATTTATCTTAGGATGTTTGTATATTTTGTAAATTACTAACAATGTTCTGCCATCCTGGTGATTGTCATGGTTCAAATGCACTTCTTCTGTCCCTCTGTTGCATGTCTGGGTAGTTCAGAAGTTTTGTATATTTATTGTATTAACACAGTGTCATAGAATAAAAAAATACTTTTTTCCTTAGTGTTCGCTCTGTATAGTTTTGACCAATAATGGGGATTTTTCTTCTAACAGTCAGGGTGATGTGCAGGGAAGATGATTTATGTAAAAGTCTGACTTGCTTTTTATAATTCTGTATATAGATGCTGTATTTCTGCTGAAATGGTGTAGCAAAATGTCCACTATCAATAAATCTGGTTAAAGAGTATTATTCTACTCAACTGTTATGAAGAAAATTCTTAAAATACTTGCAGCTTACCTTCTTGTGCTGTAAATTCACAAGGGTTAAAATTAAACATGCTCTGTCATGGCTGAATGGAATTCTACAGGTATTAAGTGAATCTTAAAACATTATTGAAAGTAAAATGAAGTTGCTGAAAAAAACATTGCTTTGGTAGTGTTCATTTTCCTAATTGATGCCAATGAATTGGCATTTCTGTGTCACTGTTGTGTCCTGCTTTTTTTTTTTTAAAGTTTTTAAAAAAACTTTTTTAGGCACGATCAAACCTATTCATTTTTTTTTCCATATAATGTCAGTTATAGCACCTGCCCACTAGTACTCATCTTTTTACTGGGTTTCCTTTGAAGAGCAGAATGGCTTAATCTAGACCATTGTGCTGTAGTTAAGTTTGCAAATGCATGATACAGAGATCATGCATATACAGAGAACAGTGATCTGAGGTACACTCAGGATTATTTTGGGAGATGGCAGATGTGTTTTTGAAGACTCTTGCACACGCATCAGTCAGTATTGAAATTGTTCATCAGCTTGATCTTTCTTTGTAATTCAAAGATCTAGGATGGCAAAGAGAGCAGACTGAAGGAAGAAGTTTTGTACTTTCTTGTAAATGTAAGCACGATCGTGCCACATGATCGAGTCATGCTTTGTGTTTAGAATTATTACATGGTGTTAATGCTCTTGATGGGAGATAGTTCCTCTGGTTTGCTGAGGCTTATTTCCTCAAGAGATTGTAAGCATGGAGTTGGAAAGGCATGCACACACTAGGAGAAAAGCATGGGTTAAGAGAACTGTGATTAAAAATACTCAGTGATACTTCAGGGAAGATATTTCTGTCAAGGAAAAGGCATACACCTGGAGCATTCTGGTTATGAATCCAGTATAGGGCACAGTACCGGATAATTAAAACTGTTCAGTTTGACKCAGTTACACATATATGTATTTGTAATTTTCCTACAAATTTTATGTCTGCAGGTAGCTTTTATTCTCGTAATTAGAAAACTCAGGAAGATTTACAAAGGAAGTAGTGCAGATCTCTTAGCTGAGCAGCAAAAGCCAGTGAAACTTTATGCAAGCATTAAACTAGATACTGTGTCATGTGATACTGAGGAAAAAAGAAAAAAGACATTGATAAGGAAGTATGACTTGTGGCTCAGGCTGCTGTATGTTTTTCTGTAGAAAAAAAACAACTGTCCAGCAGTTTAATGAAAGCATATGTAGCTCAACCAAAATGTGCTTTTTGTTGGATGAAAGTGATTACATCGAAGAGTTGTACTTTCAATACATTTATTATCTTTTAATACACATGGAGCTGTTAACATTAGGTAATGTGTGTGTATATATATATATAAAATAAGTATACTCTCCTGCTTTTGTGAGTGTTCCTTCGTGTTCGTGTTACATTACACTCAGATATGAAGGCAAATAGTATAGAGAAGCTGCTGTTTAGAGTGTTGAGAATACCAGGTTTTACTACTTTATATCCATGATTCATGAAGGGAAACCTCCAGCCAGAGAGATGGGAAATGTTGAGGACTGATTTATATTGATCAAGTTGGAGGCTGTATTAGTAAAAATTGGGCTGGTGCAGGCCTGGAAACTAGGCTGACCTCAGTTACTTGAGGCTGTGCACTTGGCTTTCCTGCTCTGCGACTCTGTGCAGCTGGAGTTGGGTAGGCTACACTGGCTGGASCCCAGCCTAATGTACACAACAGCTGCCTCTGACCACTGGTGCCTCCATGGCAGCAGCTGCTCTGCCACTGGTGCAGCTGACAATGCTGCAAGTAGATTTTATCATGTTTATAGCCTAATTAAACAATTGTGTGTATCTGAGCTGTAATCATTGCTCACATGCCAAAGCATGGTTGTTTTTAAGTGCAGAGCTGTTCTCTTTGTTGTACCTGTATTTTTTAGAGGAATGCAGTTTGTTCTTTTTACAGGAGTGCATGATGCTTTAAAGGAAAAAAGCATATCCTGAATTAGGAGTAGGGTCACACTTCTTGTTCAAGGGAAGAGAACAACTGGAAGAACCAATTTTGTYAGAAAATATCTAAATCACCTCTGAGATAACTGAGTGCAACCTATCACCTATTAATTTAAATCGGTGAATTCATTAAATTTGGAWTTTTTTTTCCTTTACCTTGGCCAGACCAAATTACTGATCCCACTGCATCTGAGTGATACCTTAACCAGTTAGTGATTCCTACACTCTCAAAATTCACTGATACGAAGATATAAATAAAATAAATGGCATCRATTTGAAAACAAACTTTCAGTGAATCGCAGGACAAGACCCCATCCTGGTATTCCTGGCACTGTGAGACTGATAATAGACATCTACTTTGTGATTGCATCACTGTTATAAACCCAACTGGAGCTTGGGCACCAAGTTATAGGAATTGTAACAACACACACAATTAGAGACTTGAACTCTGTGCTTAACTTTACTGAAAAAGGAAGGTAATATTTTTAGCTACTCCAATCAGTATGTCATAATTTCTTTAAGCATTTTTTATATTGGTAAACGCTCTATGTATGTATACCTGTTTTGTAATTCATAAACTTACATGATAGTGGTGCATTCAGTGGCACCTGTCCCCTTACTTCTGGACTGTAGGTTTCTAAAGGTTCCAAGTTAGACGAGTAATTAAACTACATGTAATTAATTATATATGAATTTAATAGAAGTGGAACATAGCAACTGAGAAATAAGTGACATATTGACTTTTCTTTAAATTGCTGAAGCCTTGCTTCTCATTCTGCTACGGACTGGCTTTGTAATGTTTCTCTAGTTTTGTCATGTCACAGTTGAAAGGTGCAACATACTGTGGCAAACACCATTTTAAAGGTCTGCATGTGATGAAGCAGTATTTGTTTTACAACCATTACTACCCCTTTCCATCAGCAAGGAACTGCAGAGCTTTAGTTGCAAAATGAAACACATTTGTCAGAACTGTATGCAATTTGAAAGTCTCTTTAATGCAACTGTATTGTATAACACATAGTTACAATTTCAGATCACATACTTTTGATCAGTAAGCAGTAATAATTGTTAAAGTCAGATGGGAATCTGAAATACATCATTGGACTGGGATCTAAAATGCTATTAAAGCTGCAATTAAAGCTCAACTTGGCTCAACTTGTCCAATATGTTGAATTCAGGTAGTCAGACTCCTGTTAAAAGTTCAAAAACTCACATTTAATTGATATTTAGATTAAAAAGAAGACATTAGGTACATCATTCATGCTAACAAATGTACATAGTGGTGAGTCAAGAACAGAAAAACAGTACCACAAATAAACCATGGCTCAAAACCTACTCTAGCTGGATCGGTGCAGCCGCTCATCCTATACCGAGGAGCTGTGTATGCGTTGCTGCCGTGCTCTGCTTTTGTTGGACTCTRCCCTTTCCTTGAGGCAGGCACCAATGCCCATGGCTGTCAAGGAAGGCCTGAACTCCTCCATTTACCACTAGGACATGGGAAACTTGGGTAAGGGGGGGTTGGGGTAGCAATGCAAAATGGAAATGATTTGGCTGAAAAAAACCTCAAAATCCAGAGAACTTTATTGACTAAAAWAGATATAAAGCAATATAGACAACCCAGAAACAGCTCAGTAGCAATGTTTTCTGCAGTGCTGCATTACAARTAAAGCACACTAAGAAACCTTGCTGAGCCTTTTCAGCTTTTAGAGTGTTAATGGCCAGAGGTGGAYACAGCTTCACACTGGAAGCATCTGTATTTCACAGATTTGAGTAATTAAAATCATTCTAGAAAATATTTTTGTCAAATCTTCAAGCTGCTGTTACTACTGTTATATTGATCTTCAACCTCAGTGATTTTACTGCATTACTCTACTTCCACATCACCAAATTCCAGCCACCTCTTCCCTGGGAGGTCCCTTTTCAAATCACTTGTTTAAAAGCAAAAAATAAAATTTTAAAAAACCACACAACCAACCAAAACCCCCACAAAACCCATTCCTCATATTGCACATCTCACACAAATCTGTGTATATATATATATATATATTTAAATATGCTACAAATTAGAAAAAAAAAAGTCTATGGCACTTTATTGAATATAAGTTTAAAAGTTGATGAAACCACAGATGTCTGAAGAATTCTTCAATACCACAAAAACAAAGTTAAACTGAACTAATTGGCACACAGGTTTTAAAGAATCCACAGCAAATTCCTTTAGATCCTATGCAGTGCATGTACATTAAGAAGCAGTTACACTCTGCAGCCCCCTCATGAAATTAATTAAATTAGCTTTAAGCTGATTTTTTTTTCTTTTTCCCAAAGTGCCTTTGAAAGCTACTGCTGAGGTGAACTTCAGGAGCAATTTAAACAGCTGTGAAACTTAATGAGTGCACCCTGCACCTGAAAACCTCATCCAGGAAAAAAAAATTTAAAATCCTCAATATACACCACCTTATCACTTGCTAGAAAAACAGAACCCTGAGAAAAGAAATTCTGATTATTTTCCCTCTTTATTTCTTCCCAGCCTGTCTTCTATCTGTACKATGTGATGGACATGGATATTCTTGCAAGTTAGTTATTATGCTGTTGCAGAGCAAGCTGAAAATATACCAGCAACAAGCAGAAAAGCTGGTTCTTCTTGGTTACAAATGCAAACAAAAGCAAAACATGCCACTGAAAATATCTCCTTTGCACTTAAAAAAAAAACCAAACCCAAACAAAACGTACTGTTGAAATTCTTACAAGCATCATGTGGATCACAGCAGAGGTCAGCTAGTAACGAATGAAGGTCACTCATTGTTTACTGCTCTGCCAGAGCACTGTATGCTCTCTCTACCTTTGCAAGAACTGACCTGATTCTGATTAATCAAGTGCTCAAGCCAAAGAAGCGTTTGTCACCCTAATAGCGTGTCAAGATTTGTTGGCAGTGGTGACCTGGGCACTAGATTGTTACCCACCTAAGGAAGGTAAAACTGTAAATCTACTTAGTAATTCAATCTACTTAGTATTTAATTTTCATCTGGTTTATATGGTACTCACACAACTACTTACCCCCTCTTTCCCAACTGCAGGACCCCGAGGGCAGGGAATAGCTGAGCTGGTGGCCAGGTCCAGTGCATGCTCCAGCAGGGGCTCGGGAAGGATGCTTGGAGGATGCCTGGCTGGACCCCAGGTACAAGCCCAGTGCGTGTCCTTCAGGTGTGGGGGCTGTGCATGGGACAAAGCCGAGACAAACACAGGTACGGACACAGTGTGTGGGCTCTGATTTTCATCTTCAGGCACCACTGTGCTGGTAATTTTGCTTTGTTAAAATCTTGATTTGTGCAGGCAGTTGGTCCCAGACCACAACTTTTGCAGAAGATTTAAATTTAATATTTAAAAGAAAATTGAGTTAGCCTTTTGAAAGTAAAAGATGGTGGATTTCGTTGCAGGAGCAGGTAAATGCAAGAAGAGGCTAGATTGAAACAATCCCTTTGGGAATATAGGCAGAAGTTGACCTTACTTGTTTGCACTGCATGTCAGAGGTCACCTGAATCTGTCCAGCTYGGGCTGCAGGTGCTGTGGGCACAGAGGTGTGGGCTGGGAGCTGCTCTGCATCCGTGGTGTGCAGCAGGTGCTGGATGGGGACCCAGCTCCACACTGTCACCCATCCTTGAGGCTGTCCCGGGCCCGCTGTCAGGAYTGCTGAACAGCTCTTGTGATCTGAAGGACTTGAGCAGTGCCTTGAAAGCACCTACCTTCCTGTACAGTAACAGCGATTTTTTAATACCTAAAGGCACACTTTAAGGGACTGACCAGGCATAAATAAGACTCTCTGCTCCGTGTAACACAGTGAAGCAACATTATCACTGGATGATGTTAAACTACCAAGAACTAAGAAGAGGAATCTAAAATTCATCCAAGTGTTTCATTAGAACTACTTCTCAGATGAATTATCCCCAATGCTCCGATGGCACAGTTGCATCATACCTTTCTTTTCAAAAACACCTTACAAACTTGATATCAGAAGTAGTTCTAGTGAAGCAACACCACAAATAACACAACCAGCTGGCTTTGAGAAAAAAAAAAAAAGACATTTGTGGCCAGGTCTGTTTAATTTCTGCCGATTTAGTTGAAAAAGAGTTTACTACTACGCACAAAAAAAAAAAAAGTAAAAAGGAAATAAACCTTCCCAGCCACATAGAATTTGTCAAGACTTTYTGAAAAATTTAAATTTCCTAAAGATTTATGTGCATCTGGGTAATGAGACAGATTAATCTGTAGACTGGGATCAATGCTTCACTGATGAGAGAAAAGGTAATACTGYTGGAAGTACAATGTGAGATCCACAGTTGTAGGAGAGGTTGCAGCCCAGGTCAGGCTGGTGCTGTGGGGAGCTGTTATCYGCTTGGGATTTCAGAAGTTTTAATAAAAGCTTTTGAAATAATTCAATTTCATCTGAATCAGATGGGAGCCAGTCTAAGAACAGCTTCTCTGTCTAGTCAGTGGAAAAAGTATGTACCTGCTAAGTAACAAATGGCACACACCTTGAACTCTAAGTTTCAAGAGAGAGCAACCCTGCAGGAACTTAACTTTCTAAATGCCTAAAGATTGGTGTAAACGTCAGCTTTGCTCTCTCCAACATAGAGTTAATATCCAAGAAGGCACTGTGCTTCCAGGATCAAAAAGCACCTCCAKGAAAATGGTACCAAACCAGGTCATKGTGAAGAAATATTCACCAGTGAAGGGAGCCCTTGGAAACAAAGCCTCATTCAAATAGGCTTCTTTTGCTTAAGGAAAGAAAAAAAAAATGTGTGGGTTTTTATTATTTTAAACCCCAATTCTTCAAAGTGACCAAGGTGGGTTAGGCAATCCAATCAATCAGAATTTGTCAGTTTTAACAACATTCCTGCTATATACATGTGATTACTCACATCCCCAGTTGGATTTAATATATTCCACTGTGTCCTGATCACAGAATGAAACTAAAAATATCCCCAAGTATTTACATTCTGCTTTCTTGGGATCCTTTCTCTGATCCTCATTGCCCAGCAAGGAAGAAAGACCCTTTCAGTAGTTCAGGGCTGGAATGCATGGGGCTCAATCACACAAATGGTAAAAACAGGTAAATGGATCTGCTTGCCCAGTCAATGGAAAGCAGAAACAGATCCAGATGCTGGTATTTTCCCCCACTGGAGTTAAAGGAGGCAGATGAGGTTTTTTCCTTCTTCTATTTCTTCTTGCACTTTGTCACTGGATGTGGCTATTTCAGCTTGTGCTGAGAAGACTGCACAGATGAACGTCAGAACAGTGCCCCCGATAGCTGTGTAGAAAGCCCAGCCTAAGGAGCAGTCTCCAAGTTTGTAAGCAGAAGCATAATCTCCACAATAGTTTCTTGCCTTCGTGCATCCCCAACCGGCAGGGTAAAGTATCAAGCCTAAGATAAGGAAGAGCCCTAGAAATAAAAACAGAAACAAGTTTAACAAACAATCAGTTTAACACCAAATGCAGCACATCCAGACATGGTTATCATGGTCACTAATACTCTTAATTACCAGGATTAGGAAAAAAATTGCCATCCCATCCATCCAACCTTCCTTTACTGATTGTTCCCTAGTCTATGCCATACAGTCTTTTAACTAAATTTGATGCTACCCTGTGATTCATGTTGTGAAAAGCTTATTTTATATTAAAATGGACTAGTTCCTAATTTTAATCTCTGTACTCCTCCTACATCCTTTGTTCTCACACATTATTGCTACTTTGAGAGCCTGTAAAATTTTCAAGCATCTCTATCTACTGCTTATACTTGCACTCCTCAAAAACTTAGGAATGTTTACACCCACTTTTGRTTTTGTATTTAGCTAGCCCTCATTCAGCTGTATTTAGCCACTCATCATAAATGTTTGCCTCTTTTTCCTCTGGATTTTGCCTACATTGATTTTCTTGCCTGGGAAAAAACAAAAAAAAGGGAAAAAAAAATCTCCCACTTCTGGATTTCTGGCCACATTAGGACATATTAGAAAAATAACACTGCCAGCTCAGTAAGCTGCTCTCCTAACAGAGGGATTCTGGAGTCAGCCTGTCAGCCTCAAACGAACAGATCCAAGTACCCACAGCCAGTGCATGCAAAACCCTGGGATCCTCCAAACAGGCAACTACTACAGAAGGAAAGCACATTTCTAGTGATGGCAGGAGCAAAAGCCTCAACTGCCCATCTTGCTAAACTRCCTAAATACCCTCCTGTTCCTCCGGCTGGAAATGAAATGCTCAGAGTAGACTTCTGCCCATGTGATTGTCTCTCATATTCATAATTACTCTATGAATGACAGGCTTCATTAATTAGAAATCACATTACTGTCCCTGTGCGTGTCTGAACAAAAGAGAGGGGATTTAATAAAAATGTCTAATGTAACAATAACAGCTAGTGGCTACAGTGCTTTCTTACGGGCCCTGCTAAGAAAAGAATCACAATGAATTAAACACACACCTCCCTCCTGCAAGGAATGCAGGAAGGGGCTAAACATCAGGACAGCTCACAGGTACCAACACTTGTTTTCTGTTTACCTTATTATTTTCCTGACAAGAACAGGAAAAATTATGAAAATCAGGTTTTGTTTAAACATCACCACTTTTCCAGAAAATGAATATAGCCTTCCAGATACTGCAAATATTTCTGATCARTTTTTCCTGCACTTTAGAGCCCTTTATTTAACCTGGTATCCAGATGAAAGCAACTGCTATAARTGCTGTTACCTTCTAGAAGTAAGCTATAAGTTGTGCACTAAAATCAGTCTTTTCTTTCTTCCCTATACCTAAGAGATTACAGAGGGCTAAAAGAGTTATTTATATCTGCTTCCATTCAGTTAGAGTAGCATTTAGACTCTTCTGCAGTATGTTACGTTTCCTTAATAGTTTGTTTAAAGAAATTCAGCCCGATGCATGAAATTTTCCTCATCAGCAAAGAAAAGGTGGACCCTAGCTAGTAAGCAGTTAATTTACACAAAATGCAAAAACCATCATGCAACTGTCTAAYGTCTGTGAATGCCAGACATTTCACAAAAGAAAGTCCTTCCTCCAGCGTTTTTCTAATGATGACACAACACCATGGGCATGAATGACCTAAATATCATTACTCTTTGGGGCGGCAAAATCCATTAGTGAGTGATATCCATTCTCTGTGGAGGGATTTCATCACTGCTTACATTTAAGAACCAATGGCAAATTTTATGCAGTGTTTCCTGGCTGGTTGGCCAAATACATTAAGTATAAAGTATTGCTTTATCTTGGACAGACCTGGATAAGCTGTGCATTCATCCTGCTGAGCCCTGAAGCCATTTCAGACTAAACACCAGCAGTTCCTTCTCTATTCATCACTAGTTTCCTGTTCTGTGCAACTGGCATGACCACACTATGTATCTTTCTGACTGCACATTGGTAGGGGCCAATTGCTGCTCTCTCTAATGATCACAAGTCCTTGGGTAGGTAAAAATCGCCATCACTGAGTTAAGAAGCTGTATCTGAAATGCCAGTGTAGCTGCTGCCAGCACGGAAGTTTTTTAAGTTTACCACTCCATCACTCACAAACCTAGACAGCCCGTGTTTCACAGAAAACCTGGCTTATGGCTGAGTGTCACAAGCAGGACCAACAAGACACATCCATCAATTTTTATCTAAACTAGAGCACTGAACAACTCCTGAAAGCTACTGGTTCGTGGAATGTATGCCCCAAGCTGAAAAGCCATAACCCAAAACTCAGTCTCTCAAAAAATGCAGCACTGCTGCCAAATACAGTCATCAGGACTTTACTGACTTAGACCTTTTTTATAAAGTACAGAAAATTCCTGGATATATAAATCTAATAAATACTATGAAAGACCATAATCTGATAAACTTCAGCTGTTTTCTACAGATGAAAACAAAATCTGGAGGAAACTCTTAACTATGGATTTGAATACAGTCAGAGTAAGAAACTGATTTCAGATAGCTAACTTCATAACTCCTATACTGGACCAGCATAATAAAACTAAAAAAATAAGTATTGTTTTCACTACCAAACCTCCTTTCTACTACTCCATTTCAGTGCAGACAGGCAGCCTCTCATGAGTCTCTTAGCATTATCATTTCTTACTTCATTAATAACAAGTTTCTGCTTGACAGGCAAAGTAAATAWAGATTATTCCATTAAGAAAATTCAACATATCCCCAGCAGATTCTGATTTCATGCCTTCGATTTCATGCTATCAGCGTGTGGGGAGGCACAGATCCCTTTTCTGCTAAAAAGCTCCAATATCCGGAGCAAAGGCTGAGCTGTGCAGACTCCCTTCCTGACTYTCCCAATCCACCCAGAAAGGAGTGTTCAATTAAATGGGAGCTTTGCCTCCTGCTACCTCAGATACCTCCTGAGGCTGTCTCAGAGGAGACAGCCACTGAGCTCATCTCAGTAACTCCTGCAGCTTGAACAAAATGGGCAGATAATGATCCACCAACAGTGCAAAACACTGCCTAAACTGCCTAAAACAGCAGCCAGCAAACCAAAGCACTTCACTGTTCAACTACTGCAACCAGGCACCCCTGAAAAAGAGTCAGCCCCTCTGCTCCTGTCTTCTGGTGACAGTTTGCCTTGAGACATATCTGGACAGTAAATATTTATGATGGAGATTTCTTTTTCTTAATAAATCAGTGTTTGCTCATCCCTGTGTCTTTGAAGACAAACCAGTATTAAAGAAAAAGAGAATAAAAACTGAGTGCTCTATTTGAAGAAGTTTTCTGCAATGAATCCTTTCTGTTCTTTGTGCCTGCTGTACAGTAAATGACTTTTAATTCACAGCCAATCTACCTGTAGAATTACTGCTGTTTGTTCACTCTGCTGGGAGAAACAAATTAACTCTGAAAACATTATAAGGTGTTCTCCACCGTGCTCCTCTACAGGCTCACAGAGCTCATGCTTGCTCTGTTCTAGATTTAACCCCCTCTCTGAGTACAGCTGCACTGCTGAGACCGCAGCTTGTGCAGCATACCACTGCTCCTACTTAATCAGCATGAACCCACTTCTTGAAACCAGTATGATAATTTTTCTTAATTGCATTTTCGTTTTTGTTAGTTGTTYCCAGTTCTCAGTTACCTTTCCTCTTAGGAATCTTTAAGAGAGGCATGAAAGAATGTCGTCACACAATGTTGTCAGATGCTGAGGAATGACAACAGAAAACTATTCAAATGACTTTTCTTACCCAGAGACCTCATCCGTAACTCTTTGGTGTTAGTTCTGTCAGCAGAGAACATTTTCACATCTTTCACTGAAGGCAATTTTACGACATAACCTTTTATTAWCAGGCCCTAATTACTTGCTTTCAAAAAAGAAGCCTTTGTGAGATTTAGATTTTAATGTTATTATTAGATTAAACTATATCTCATGATTACAACAGCCCATTAAACACCAGGCCCTCTTTGCTTAAATGGTGTAATAGCAACTTTCTCCTAAAACACCAAAACAAAACCTTGCAACGCACCGTGAATGTCGATTATCAATACAGCAGATTGCATCACTGTGCAATGGTGTTTCAGAAGACAGTTCATTAATGCTTTTCCTGTAGCAGAAGACTGTTTGTATTTGTGCACCAAGAATGTTTCCCCTTTGAAGGGTCTGCAGCTGCAGCAAGCCATTGCTTCTCCTGGTTTTCACACACTGCAGCAGTGCTGCCAGGTCAACACTGCAGGAACCAACAGACCAGACTTTCATTGTGGGCATTTTTATGTCACATTATGTGCTGGGGTCAGATCTGAGGAAAACCTTTTTTCTTCTTTGGAAGAAACCCTTGAGACAGGAGGCAGGCAGAGGCTTGTTTAGCTAAGTGAGGGCATGCTGGTTAGTTTTGACAGTCTCCTGTGCAGCTGCTGTTGTGCCGTATTAAACAACAGCATATACTAACAAAGCCAATTTCCATTGCAAAGCCTGAAACTATCTACTCATTTCCTAGCAAAATAGTAAAAGAAGTTTTTAAACACTGCTGAAGAAACAGGAAATTAAGCAGCTGTGATCAATGAGGTGGCACTGCAACAGGCTCCTATGGAGCAGCACAACTGAGCAGCAACATTTTCAGAGGGGAAGAGAAAAAGGGTAAAAGGGTAAAACAGGAAGGGACTRGCTTTGCAGTGCAGTGCAGGTGGGCTACATCCCCAGTGGCACTGATCCTGATTGTTTTCATCTTCTGCACAKCCACAAGGAGATTATGAATCAGCCAGGCACCCTACCTTTATTGCTCACAATTACACATGTGAAATATGCTACCTGAACAATTTCATGTGTTAAATATTTGTACAAATGTACTAGTCTAGATTAGGCCAAGGAGGCTTTTCCATATGCCCATTTTCCCTGACAAACCCAGSAGGGATGCCACCAGGTCACCACTTGTGCACTTTTGACCACTTTCCCCAGTGACAGACAGATGAAGGGAC